ATGATGTGTCATAGCGCAAAGATCAGGTCTTCGCGAGAGTGCATCTGCTGCGCGATTGGAGAGGCCGGGGACATGTTTCGGTGTGAAGTCAAATTGGTCGATGAAGTACATCCATCGTCTGATCGTGCTGCTCACCGTGTCCTGCGTCTTATAGTAGGTCAATGGATTGTTGTCTGTGACCCATGTGATCCTATGACGCCCAAGGAGGAAATGCCGCCAGCGCTCATCACGAATAAGAGCAACTCCTTCTTCCTTGCATCATCAAGCGAGTTGATGGGAGGCACTTTGTGGCTGAAATACTCCACAGGGTGCCAGTCGTCGCCGTCGTGCTGTTCCAAGACTGCCCCAATGCCATAGCCGGAAGCGTCCGTAGTCAACTCGCGTCGGCAGGGTGGGGTCATAGATGCTAAGGACGGGTGCCATGAGCATAGCCGTCTTAAGTGCTTGGAATGACCGGCTTGCGTCGTCATCGAATACGAATGGCACCTTTGGCGACTGTAACCTCGTCATAGGTGCARCAATCCTGGAGTATCCGGTGATGAATCGCTGATAGTAGCCCGCCAAATCCCATGAATGAACGAACGTCCGTGGTGTTGGTGGGCTTGGGCCATACTCGTAGGGCCTCGATCTTGTCCGCGAGCGGACGGATGCCTTGCGGCGTCACATAGTGTCCCAAGTACTCCAGCTCCTGCTGTGCGAACTCGCACTTGTCGCGGTTTCCTTTGTACTTGGCTTGTCGTAGCCGCTCCAAAACGGTGCGCAGGTGCTCCACATGCTCGTCCAAACTCCGACTATACACCAAAGATGTCGTCGAGGTAGATGTGTACAAACCGATCCAGCATGTGTCGGAACTCCGTTGTCATAGCTGCTTGGAAAGTGGCTGGGGCATTCGTAAGGCCAAACGGCATGACCAGCCATTCGAAATGCCCATACCGTGTCTTGAACGCGGTCTTGTAGCGATCCTCCTTGCGAATCTCGAGTTGGTGGTACCCTGACTTGAGATCCAGCTTAGAGAAAAACTGGCCGCCGCTTAATCGCTCGAGAAGGTCATCGATTCGCGGGAGAGGGCCGGCGTTCCTGATCGTCTGCGCGTTGAGATTGCGATAATCGATGCACAACCGCAGGCCCTTGTTCTTTTTCTGGACGAAGAGAACAGGAGCACCGTATGACGATGAGCTAGGCCGAATCCAACCTTTCTCTACAAGGTCGTCGAGTTGTGCGCGGAGCACACTTAACTCTTCCTCGCTCATTTGGTAGATGCAACCGCGCGGAGGTACGCCCCCGTCCTCGAGCATGATCTCATGGCGGATGGGTCGATCCGGTACTACCCCGTGCGGGCCTTCGAACACGTCGCTGTAGGCGTCGAGAAGTTCGGTGATGCGTGGATCCGAAGGTGAGTCCGTCGATGAAGCGTCATGGGGCGGGAGGGCGTGGAGAAAACACACCCCCATCTCCTCGATGTCGTCTCTGATGATGGAAGCTCGCATGCTTGCGGCAGATACCACGTGGCAGCTGATCGAAGGATGAGGAAGAGGCACCGTGCATGGAACTAGTACTCCGTTTCGATCATGGATGTGAACGGTGCGGTGGAAGAAGTTCACCGGGTGATCCTCGCTTCGCAGCCATGACATGCCCAAGATCATGTCGAATTTGGTGTCTAGAATGTCAAAGGACACCGCCTCACTTGCGTGAGGGGCAAAGTACACTGGGACGGCTTCAATGCACCGGTCGATGGACTTGTGTGTATGACCGTCTGCCAGAGTGACTAGCGTAGGCTGGGACTTCCTCCGGACACGTGGGCCAAGGCCGGCGCGTACCATGAAGTCCTGGCTGATGTAGTTGCGAAATGCTCCGCAATCGATCAAGGCACTGCAGGTCGCCTCTCCAATCTGAATGCGTACGTATAGCAATGGTGCGTCGATGTCGTTGTACCATTGCGTCTTGAACTCGCGGTCGATCTTCGCGATGTAAGCGTGAAGGTCGACAACCTCTGCTCCGGCGTCCATCAACGGAGCTGGTACTGCAGTGTGCAAGTAGTCCCGCAGTTGTGCCATTAGCGCATTGCAATGCGGTTTCGGCAATCGTCCGGTCGAGGGAACGGATATCCACTGGAAGTCCGTGAACGTCAACGGGTCGAGCTCTTCATGTCTTGACCATGACGTCGAATCCCTGGCGATAGATTGCGGCGAAGCTGCCGAATCGGTTGCCGATGGTGATGAAACCGTGCATGTGGTGGACTGCTGCACGTGGAGCGTTTGGTCCAGCGGTGGAACCAAGTGGACAGCATAATCCTCGTAAGTATACTGAGGACTTCCGACATTCGCATCCTCCCCAGATGTGCAGGAGGCCGCTTGCAAGGCGGCCGAATCTGGCGGAGTAGAAGGTGGAGTCGCCTCACCTTCCGCGGAGCTCAGTTTCCCGAGCTGAGGCGGGGTCACACATCCTCCTTGCCCTGATCTTGGCACAGGGAGGTCTTGTGCTTGGTGCTGTTGCACCAGTAGCAGCTGCCGTAGCGGCCGCGGACCTTTTACTCCGCCTCGATCAAGCCAAACTTGACCCATGGAACTTGTACTGGCTGTCCATTTCCGGCCTGCGATGCGGATTTTGCCTTCCCATTGTTGCGGGACTTGTTGTTGCTTCGCGGCTGGACAGCAGCCACCTGATCTCCGTCACTTGATGCTGGAGTGGCTGTTGGGTTATCTCCACTGTCCTGCTGGACTGCAGCGAAGTGCTGCTGTTGCGGACTTGTTCGTACCTTCTCCACATAGGTCGGCTGCCATGGTGACTTCTCGTGTGCAGCTGACCTGTTGGTCTTGATGATCTCCCTCGCCTTGTCGATAATCTCGGCGAAAGTGGAGTACTGCTCGCGATCACCAGGAGCCTGGCTCAATGCAGCGCAGGATCTGTTGTAGAACTCACGTCTGAGGTGAGTGAAAGGCAGCTCCAGATTGGGCACTGCCGCAATCTTCTGCCACTCTGTGAGCCAATCCCGTGTTGCAGTGTTGCCCTGTGACATGGTGAACAAACGGTTGATGGCGCGTGCCGGCACGTCGTCGACGATGAACCGCTTCTTCCACAGCCGTGTCAGTTCTTCCCATGTGATTTGGTCCTTCAAGTCTGGTACGTCGACGCCGTGGGAGGCTGCCAGGTGGCTCAACCAGGTCTGGCATCCGCCCTTTGAGTTCAGGAACAGGGCGCCGATGTACGCATGCTTGGCTACGGGCAGAATCCTGAGTTGCGTTGTGAATGCTTCCCACCAGAGGACSGGATCCTGCTGCGTGTAGTCGTCGAACCTCTCCAGATTGAAAGTTGGCATCTTATACATCTTCGGGTTGCCATCCGCGTTCGTCGTCTGCAGCTGCTGGACCTCGGTCTTCAATGTATGCAGCTGACTACTGATGGTGGTGGTCGGCGCAGCGAAAGTGCTGATGTCGCTGAGCATTGCCACTACGTGGTCAACGCGGTCCGCCAGTTGGCGGCTAGAGGGTGCACTGCTGGAAGCCCCAACAGCTGGTCCTGGTACAGCCTTTTCCAGGTCCAGTACACGGGCGTCCAGTGCCCGTGTGACATCCTCGTGCTGACTCTTATGGTCCCGCACGGCCCGCTGAAGGTTTGCCAGCTCGGAGTGTAGGTGGTTACATGTGTAAACCAATCTGCTCAGGAGCTTGGCCATGAGTTCCTTATGCTGTTCTTCCGGTGTTGGCTCGTCGCCGTTCGGTTCAAAATGCCAGTTCTCGAGTTTCTCGATGTTGTTGGCTTCATGCCGCTGCAGCAGAGCCTGGGCTTCCTTGAGGCGAGCCTGGGCATCTGCGTYTGCTTCGGCCTGTAGCCGCAGCTTCTCTGCTGTTGCCGCTTCATCAGCCTGTAGCTGGGCAGCCTTGACTGCCAGCTGGCGTTGTTCCTCAGCCTCGATTGCAGCGAGCTGAGCATGGACGCGCTTTTTGTAGTCGGCAATGGGCTCATTGGCCAGTTGGCCTGGCAGGCCCGTCATGTTGCTGACGTGGCACTGCTGACGTGGCACTTTGTCTGACGTGGCACTGTATCTGACATGGCACTGCTGATGTGGCACTGCTTACGTTGCACTGTGTCTGACGTGGCACTGCTGATGTGGCACTACTTACGTGGCACTGTCTGATGTGGCACTGYTGATGTGGCACTGCTTACGTGGCAGTGTTTGAGGTGGCACTGTGACCTGGCACWRTGATGTGGCACTGCTGACATGGCACTGCTGACGTGGCACTGCTGATCTGGCACTGTGACGTGGCGCTGCTGACGTGGCACTGTACCGAACCGGGATGCATGCAAGGGGTGGGTGGGAGGGAAAACGTAGGTAGGTAACCAACCCAACAATACTTTCCTCCGGCCCTAATCAACAGATAAAATAAAAAAATAAAAAATAAAAAGAGGACTACTTCATGGTAACCGCGGACCCGGACACCGGACACTTCCGGAGCATATTCCGGACCCGTGTCTGGACCGGTCCGGACTGTCCGGTAATCCGGACAGTACCGGACACCGGACACTACCGGACACCGGACAGTCCGGAGGGGTGTACAGCGCTTCTTGTTTCCCTTCTCAGCTTTGCCACGAATTCCCACTTCCGTGAAGTGCTTCTTCACAGACTCGCTGTGGTTTTTCGTCATCCTGTTCACAGACAAACACAAAAAAACAACAACAGCAGTTGTTAAAGCCAGTCCACCCCTCAACGCTCTCCCTCCTCCACTCTCTATCCCCATCCACCCATCTGTCCACAGAAATCAATTAATCACACCATCAATGAATCAATCAATTAATCAAGGAAGCAACCAACCAACCAACCAACCAATCAATCAATCAATCAATCAATCAATCAATCAACCAATGAAGTTGAATGAACCAATCAATCAATCAATCAATCAATCAATCTCCCCGAACCTCCTATCCCCCCATCTTTCCCTCTCCCCCCCCGTTTCCCCGAACCTCCCACCCCCCCCGCTATCTCCCCGAAC